GACACCTAAACCAAGCTTATCTCCTTTTATTTTAACTCCTGCAGCAGCTAAAATTGTTGGGAACATATCGAAGTGAGTGAAAACTCTTCCAGTGTTATTCGCTCGCTTCAATTCAGAGTTAATGAATACATTAAAGATTCTTCTTGGATAGTTGTTTTTCTGAGCAAGTTCTTGTACACTTGTGTCTCTTCTTACATGATCTCCATGAAGAACAATTAAAGTATCATTGTACCATGGTTTTGTCTTCATCCAGTCAAGTAAATCTTTAATTTGATTGCTCAAACAGTTGAAAAGTCTCTGTAATTTTGTTCCATTCGGAGGACACAATTTACATATGTAACCAGGTTCATGTGTGTCTATAGATGTGATATATAATAAAAATGGCTTTTTCGGATTTTCTTTGTAAATCTTGTCAATTAAATCTTTTTGGTACTTGAAAAGTACATGATCCGGTACAAACCACCTTTTATTGGCTAAATTAACACTACTGTGGCAGTGATCAAAGCCATGATGCTTGAAAACAAATCCGATACTCCAATCTTCATCAAAAGTACCGTAAATTGCATGTGTATCATATCCATTCTTCTTTAAAACATCACCAAGACATTGGGCTTGTGTATAATAGAATGTGCTTGTGTTATCTCCTTTGTTTTGAGCTCGATCTCCTTGCCATTTGAAAGGAAAGCCGCATTGGACAGCAAAGTTAGCGCTTACTGTGAACCTGTTGCGATATAATTGCAAAGTACCACCAAGCTTATCTGGTTCAGTGTGGTTTGAGAAATGAACGTTATTTGTATCTAAAGCCAAGCTTTCTATATAAGGTGAGTAACTAGTTTCCATTAGGCCTCCATGTTCTTGTGATATGAAGCTAGATTCAAACGATTCTAAACTAATAAAAATTACGTTTTTCTTTTTTTCGGGGAAAACTAGGTTTTGCGGATTAGGGAAAACATAGTTATGATTGTAAAAGTTCAAACTAGAAGAACCTGTAGTTTTTATTGTAGAATAAAATGCAACCACGACAAAGAAAATATTTATTATTGATAGCATACGATAATCTAGATTTATGTTAATGTTAATATATCTGATATATAGAGTACTTCTAGAATATTTGATAAATGCGTAAAATATGTAAAGGGATGGTAATAATGCTGGCAAAAAGTAATTTGTTGAAAATGAATAAATGAATTCTGTTTTACCTGCATATTCTCGCTGAATTATAAGTTCCTTCAATTCATCAAAATAAATAGAACCTGATAATTGATAAATATTTTTAATGAAGCCTATTGCTAATGAAGATAAAATGCAAACTGCAAAGGATTCGAACATATTGAGATAGTAAATTCGCAAGCATTCTTTAGACATTACAGTGTAAGAAGGTTTCTTGATTTGGAAAAATTTAACAGAGAAAATCAGCAGTATTAATGGGATTGAAAAAATTGTTGGAGACTTTTTAATTGCACTAGTTAAAGTTCCTGTTATTAAAAAAATTAAAACCCAATAGCAAAATATTACAATTTGAAAAGCGTTCTTAATGGCGTTGATAGTTTGAGTTTTATGTCTAAGCCTTGAACATTCAAAGATGAATATCCATATTGCTAGGTAATAAAGAATGATGAAAAAATACGAATTCATTCTGTTCCTTAAGGGTGTCCAAAAGACCAAACTTCTCCTATCGTTGTTATTTTATGATGCAAAATCACCCCAGATATCTTATATATCGGATTTTAATTTTGTACAAACACCTACTGTAAATATTGGGGTTTTAGAAAATCAACTTTTTAATGAAACAATAAGAATTACCGAAAAAGTGACAAAACATCAAAAACAGGGAGGGGTCTCAATTTTTATTACTTATATTATTTTACAATAAAAAAAAAAAAAAAAAAAAAAAAGGTAGTGGGGCTTCCAGGGGCTGCGCCCCTTCTAGCCCCGAAGATGTTTAGTATAAATGAAGTTTTTATTCGGAAAATTGTTAGTCTTCTGGTGTGAATTCGGAGGACTCTTCTTCTTCCTCCATTGCTTCTGGGAAGAAGCCTTCTTCTGGGTCGAAAACATTATATAATGTGTCGCTTTTCACAAATTATATATGTTTTCATGTTTTGTCACTTTTCTGTCACTTTTCAGGAAAAAACATTTTTATTATTATATATAAATGAATTTTACAAAACCACCGTTACCCTTCTTTGGAAATAAGAGTAGATGTAAAGATATTCTATTGAGAGAACTTAAGAAACTACCGAATGGTCTAACATTTGTAGATTTGTTCGGTGGAAGTTTCTATATATCCCATTTGTGCCATACAATATTCCCAGACTCAAAGATTATATGCAATGACTTCGACAACTATATGAACCGTCTCAAACATATTCCAGACACAAACAATATATTGAAAGAGTTAAAAGAAAAGATACCTATAGGTAAGATGGAACGTATACCATTAGATAAGAAAAATATTGTGAGAGAGGTTTTGAAAAAAGCAGAATATATAGACTGGGATAGTATATCTGCTAGACTATTATATAGTGGTTCTATAAGAGTTCATGACATTGAAACACTTATGTCAAAAGTTTTATATCTTAACTATACAAATGTTTTCAAAGAGGACATAGAAAAATATATTGAGGGTATAGAGTTTGTGAGATGTCATTGGACAGAGTTGTATGAAAAATATAAAGACAAGGAAAATGTTTTCTTTATAGTGGACCCGCCGTTCTATAACACATGGGATTTTCAATACCAAGTAGACTGGACTTTGAGAGACTCTTTAGAAACTTTAGACGTTTTACATAACCATCCATGCTTTTACTTTACATCCGATAAAAGTGGTTTGGAAACCGTTATGAGATGGTTAGAGGACATACATGACTATGAGTTTATATATGACAAGATAGAATATGAGAGAGGTCCTATAAACCGGAGAAAGTGTCATAACAAAGAAATTTTATTAGTAAGTAAATGTGGTTTGAAATAGGACTACTTGTTTTAGGTTTTTTCCATTGTGTCATTTATTTATTTGACGTGGCAGAAAAGTACAGAGAATATGAAGATGAACCAATGCCTGCAAATGTTCAGCATATGTACTCGTAAGAGATATTTTTATCTAATATTAAATGGACGCACAGAACTTAGCGAATGCACAGCAACCTGGACAACCAAACCCAGAGAATATTCCAAATGAAGTTAGAATACAAACTGCAATGGCAAACCATGGTCAAGTGCCAACAGATGTACAAATGCAAACTGCCATGTCAAATGACGCTGCGTTAGGTTTGCCACCATGGTATGCAAATATGAGATGGAAAGAGTTTTATACAAACCCTGAAGTGGGATATAAACAACTTTATGCAGATGACGCGAACACAGGAGTTGACCCAGAATATGTTTTCTACCAGAGGAGAAACAGAATGTATGAGCTCCAGTTAAAGAATGCTATGGAACTCAACAGGAAACGTAAGAGACTAGGCGGACATTAGATTTTTACATATAGTAAAATGGGTTTCTTCAGTAAGATAGGAAACTTCTTTCGAAATGTTGGAAGAGGTATATGGAATGGAATAAAAACCGTAGGAAGAGGAATTTGGAACGGAGTCAAAAATATTGGTAAAAGAGTAGGTCAGTTTGTTGGTATTATACCTAAAGACCCTGAACCAGAAGAACAAGCTCCTGTTATACAACAGCCTGAACCTGCACCACAGTCTAGTTGGCAACCAAATCCAACACCTCAACCGTATTAAAAAATTATATTTTTACCGTTCGATAGTAGTTGTATATGAAACTAAGTTCTAAGTAAAACGCATGGTATAATGGAATTATTCTTTTTCTTCCATCTGTAGTAAACCATACTTGAAAGTCTGAAATACTTCCACTTGGTGGTTCATATAACTTTGTAGGTTTTTCGTAAAAGTCATTTGCCAAGCATAAGAAAGAGTTTTGAGCGCCAGAAAATGAAGCATGAACAATAATAGCAGCTGGGTCGAAAACATCTTTAAATAAATATGGTTCATCTCTTGCATATCGACTGTAAATATTTGCTAAAGGAAGTTCGACTTTCTGATTTAACATTCTTTGCAAATAATACCATGACATTGCAGTGAATTCTGTATATATTTGTTCGTCTTTCTTTGGATTGTCTTCGTAGATTTGAAATGACACTTGTGAATTTTGTTTGTCATATACAATTCTCACATAAAGTGTGCTCTCGGTATTTGCATATTCATCAGCATATTTTGCATAACATGAATTTATTTTATCTTCTATATTTTTTAACGCAGTCTGTAGAGAAGATGAAAGGTCAACTTGTATTAGCTCAATTTCTTCCCACATTTTTCGTTTCCCTTCAGATATATAATCTATATGAAACCTTACAATAAATGGAAAACTTTTATCTTCTACAGACACAAACTTCATTCTACGAAAGCCAATAGCTTTTGTGACAGATGGGTCTCTTAGCCATCTTAATGGGTAGTCAAAACGATAGCCTTCATGCTTTACGGTCTCTGTCTCAAACTTTTACCGACATTAGTAAAAAGTTCATCTAATGGTTTAGTTGTAGCAACTCTTGAATTTTCTTTTTCTATTGGAAGCATATTTTATCTAGAATAAAAATGTCAAATGAAACAGCGTCTATGAGAGAAATACAACACAACCGACAACTCATTATGCAAGCTCTAAATAAGAACACAACAAACTTTTCAAACTATTCTAAGATATCTGAGTCATTGAAAGAAGGAAACTTAAAACTGACATTAAACCCAATGACAGATGAGTTTCTGTTTCAAGACAATAAGAACCATACTGTCTGTATAAATCCAACAAAAGGAACTTTAAACGAGAAACCTATAAATGAACTTCTTTTGAAAGCAGATGTTGACAACAAAGCTGACAAAGAATATGTAGACGATGCAATAGCAAAAGAAGAAGAAAGAGCTAACAATGCTTATGCAACAAAAGAACATACTCATCCTGAACTAGCAGACAAAACATATGTTGACAATAAAATGTCAAGTGAAGTGACAAGAGCTGAAAACGAATATTCTAAAAAGACTCATACACATTCTATATCTGAAATAACAGACTTAAACGTTAGCCTTGAAAATAAGGTAGATAAGGGACTTATGGCTAGTGTGTTAGTGAAGAAGGCGGATAAGGAATATGTGGATGAAAAAGATAAAGAAATTATAGAAAGGGTTGACTGGTACCATGAACGGACATCGAAGATTTTAAAAACTAAAGCCGATACAGGATGGGTTTCAGGATGTTTAGACCTTAAAGCAGATAAAACTTATGTTAACGATGAGTTAGAGAAGAAAGCAGACAAGAACCATACACATACAAGTTTTACAACTGTTGCTATAGAAAGTATTGAAGGAACGGTTGAAGAAACTGGTGGGGATGCAATATATTGTAAACCTCCTAACTTTCCACAAGGTTTAACATCGGATGACGACATAACGACGATGAGAAACATTAGATGTAAAGATGTTTATGTCATGAAGGATGAACATAATATTAAATTCACTGCTCAAGATTTATATGACAAGAAAGCAGACAAAACAGAGCTTCAAACATTAAAGACAGAAATGCTTCAAACATTATATCCTATAGGCTCTATTTATACGTCAATGAACTCTACCAGACCAGAAACAGTTTTAGGTTTTGGAACTTGGACTCAAATAGTCGACAGGTTTTTGTATTGTGCAAACTCTTCAAAGGAAACAGGTGGAAGTAAAACGATTTCAGGTGAAAACTTACCTGCGCACAGTCACTACATAGATTTAAGTACATCTCAAGCAGGTTGGCATAAGCATAGATATTGGGATTGGTCAGCAATGATAAAAGGTAAAGGATATGATGTTAAAGACAACGTTAAGTTTGCTATAGATTGTTACTGGAGTAACACTGAGGGAGGAGGAAACCATACACATCGCGTTTCAGGATATACGCAAACAACGGGACAAAGTAAAGACTACATGCCACCTTACATGACAGTTTACGCATGGTATAGAAATGCTTAGTCGTCATTTTCAACTTCTTTAGCATATTCGTCAGGAGTTGTCTTATATTTGTTAGGAACTGTCTTTGAAAGTATACCACCTTGAACTTTGACAAGTTTGAAACGAGGTCTGACAATAGTAGTTTTATCTTCTGCTTGCAGTCTGTACATTTTGCCATGTTTGCCTAAAACTTCATAATATTCTCTTGTATACTTTCTTCTATTTTTACGAACACGAATGTGAGTACCTGTCGGGTTCCCATTGTTGTCATAGTCAATAGTATTTTCATATGGGTCGCGTTTAGGTATTTCTATTTTTACTTTGTCACCTTTCTGAAGTTTGAAGCCCGGCATTCTTTCTTGTTTGTCTCTTTTGACTAAATTATTAAATATATAGTCTTTCTCTAAGTCAGGGTTGTTTTTCATTTCTTCGGGGGAGTGGTTTCCCAAACCTTTTTGTTTACGGCTATTGTAAATATTTAAAACTTGTCTCATCTTTGCCATGGAGAAGTGTCTATATTTGTCGTCATATGACATTTCATTTGCTTCACCACCTTGTGGTTGGTTTAAGTCTCTTAACATTTTTATACAACCGTCAATGACACCAAGAGCAGAATGGTTTTGGTCGACAATGAAATATTGGTTTACATTTTTTGAACGCAGATAGTTTTTAATATCGTCTGATTTGAAAGAACTTTCACAGTCAGATGTCAGTTTTGTTGGATGGTATTTGTCAACGAATATTGTCAAAGCTGCTAAGATATCTAAAATATTTTTGGACTGTAATGGTATGGCTTCACAGTATCTTGTGTTTTGACCGACAAATATTAGCCAGTATGGTGGTCCATCTTCTCTATACCTCGGAATGTTTTCCAAGATATCCATAAACCAAGCATTTGGTGTTGAACTAAAGATTTTTATCATGAGTGCTTTCTTTGTCGCTTTAGAAACATAGGGGTCCTTGTTTGGATTCGTCATTTTTATCCTATAAGAAATGGGTTTATTTGGCGCGTTAGCAGGAGTTGCATCCAGATTTTTACCCGCAGTGGGAACAATAGCCAGAGGTGTATTTGGAGTTGGAAGGAAGATTTTGAGTACATTAGGTATACTGAAAGAGAAAGCACAACCTATTATACAAACTGTACAGAAAGGTTGGGATGTAGCACGAGATGCAACAAATCTTATTCCAAATCCTGAAACAAGAGGAAAAGTTCAAGGATGGATGGACAATGTAGGAAGACAAGCAGGAAACTATTATAACAAAGCAAATGACTACTATAACCAAGCAGGACACTATATGGACCAAGGTGAAAGATTCTTTAACAGAGGATATAACCATGCACAACAGTGGGTAAACAATAACCAACCGCAACCACCTCAAACTTGGGGAATGTAAAGTTTTTTACTGAGATGAAATGAACAATACAGCATTGAGACAAATGGGTTCAAGATGGATTTGTCGACTTCCAGCAGTTACACAACGTGTTTGTCAAGTTCTTCCTATACCTCAGGAAGTTTTAGACCGACTTAAAAAACAACAACAACCAGTTGAAAACAAACCAAACTAAAATTTTTTACTGAGATGAAATGACCGAAGAAGTTGAAACGGTAGATTTGACACCACAAACAAAAAGTTCAGAACCATTGTCAAAACCTGTCAAAGAACTTACAGATGAAGAGAAAAATTCAATAATAGAAAGTGCCAGGTCTGGAAATACAAACCCTAACTATAAAGTCACTTTTCATAGAAATGGAACGGCTAGTATCTCAAAAAAGAAACAGACTCTCACAAATAAAATATTGAAGTCTGAAGGAGCTTTCGAGACAACAGATGGGAAAGTATACTTCACTGACCAACAGTTCATTATAGAACATCTCATTGACTTAGAGTCGAAATATTCTAAACTTTACAACAAACACAAAAAGTTGAAAGGAAAACAAAAACAAATGGCATATGATATTTACGAAGATGTTGACGACACAACCATACCTGCAAGTGAGGTAAAGTCAGAGGAACCGAAAAGTGACGAAAAACCGATAGAAGAAGAAAAACCAAAAACTGAAGATAAACCAAAACCAAAGTTTAGTTTCCAAACTAAACCAAGTCAACCTTCATTAGCTGGTATGGGTTGGCGTCAAAGACTTATGGCAGCAGGCGGTTATGTAAAGTAAAAGAAAAAAATATTTTTAAAACAGTATATTTTTTTATTTTTATAAAAATGCCCCCATATAGAATGGACAGAAGGTCTGCTAGAATAAAAGCAGAGTTAGAAAGATATGGTTGGAGAGTTTCGAAGAAGTTTAAATATAGGAAGGGAAGACCCATAAAAGTCTATGACAAATTGTCTGGTCTTCGCTACGAAATGGATTTGGAAACAGCACGTGCCAATTATCCAAACAGACTAGAGAGGTTAGAAGAAGAACGTCTTATGGACATGCCTTTCGATGTTAGTGAACCTCAAGTTGAAGGACACGACGGCTTTGCCAGATTCTACTGGAAACATGACGAACAATTGCATCCTTTGAGAAGGAAAAAAGGAAAAGGTGAAGACACACATGCTCCCATGGAAAGAACAAGATATGCATATGAGAAGTATCGTGAAGTTAGAAGTCAAATTACATCTGGTCGAACCTTTACAGTAAACTTTGACGAAGGAAAGAACAAAGAAGGCTTCATGGGTGTACTTGCTGCCATACAAGACGGAAATAAGAAAGGATACAATCTCAGATTGACCATAACAGATTTGGATGGTCACATTTACTATGCACATGGCAATGAACAAACAGCCGCAAAACTTCTTGACGCTTTCAAGACTACAAAGAGAGAACAAATGGTTGACTCCGACTCAGACATTTTGAATGCAATTGAAGGAATTGCAAGTGTCAAGTTCGAATGGTACCAACCTAACCCTCAAGCAGTCAGACAACATGCTGGATACTTCCCGTTCAGAAATAAGTCTGACATTGACTTGACAAGGTATGGAATTTACAATTCAATTGAAACAATTGTCAATGAACCTTGTATTCTTACATGTCTCAGGAACTCTGGTCTTGTTACAGATGAGAAGATGAAGTATCTTGAGTCATGTGTGAAAACAAGGTACATGCTCAGAGGTCAATTGTCAAAAATTGCACCGTTGGCAAATGTCAATATCCGAGTCAACATTCCGACTGAGAAAGGTTCTTCACATGACGACTATGTTGTTGACAAAGACTTACCATGGTTGAAGATTGTAATTGTCCACAACCACTTCATGTTGAACGAAAGTCTTACAAACCCATTGTTCGGAAAAGGTAAGTGCAACATTGTCAGAGCTGTTAACATTCTTTTCGAGAAAGGCTTGTTGGAACCAATTCCAGATGACAAGCTGACAGAAACTTTTGTACCAAAAGACGAAACAAACTTTTCATTGTTGGTAAGACCAAAAGTTGTTCCGGACAAAGTTATAGCACAAAAGAAGTACACAGTTCCAAAAGGAGTTGGATTGTTCGGATACCAACCTGAACCAGAAGAACTTCCAATGAGGTTGCAAGAACTTCAAGATGCTATAAACAAACTTCCATTGAGACATCCAATTGACGTCAAATTGTATTGGAGAGCATCTGAGTTAGGTCAGAAGGTTTTATATGAAACAGGTTGCTTCGACGATGTTTATGAGATAACAGGAGAAGTTTCTCAGAAGATAAGAGACTCACTTGAATTTCCACAAACTGGACCAATTGGTTGCGACAAGTTCGACTCAGATGAAAAGATATACTATGTCGACCTTAACGCTGCGTACATGAGGTTCGTCCAATATATTCCAACTGGAATTCCAAACGAAGATGGTGAGTTCCCAGGAAGGAACTATACAGTTGGAAAAGTCATACAACAACTGTATGATATTAGGAAAGCTTCAAACCCCAAACTTGCAATGACACTCAAATTGCTTATGAATTCGACATGGGGATATTCCATTAAGAAACCTCAAGAGATGAAGAGTAAACATTATGAGAAGGTCGACAACTTTGTTGAAAGGTTTTCTCCTTTTGTTTTGAAGTACGAATTCACTCAAGGTCAAAGTGGCTTAGTAACCACATTAAAACCTATTGTCGAACATTGGTCTTACCCTCAGTTCGCAAAGGCAGTCCTTGACAACTACAACAAATTCTTCTCCGAAGTCAAATCCAAAGTGAAGGTTTACTATGAGAACATTGACGCACTCATGACGAACGAAGAAGGGTACAACAAACTCATTGAAATGGGCATGGTCGGTGAAAAGATGGGTCAATTCAAATTGGACAAAATTTTCACCGAAGTTCATGTAATATCGAAAAGGAAGTACTGGGGTGTTAAAGAAGATGGTGAAATAGTTAAACATTGCATGAAATAAAAAATTTTTATTCGAATTTGAATCGGACAGGTCGAGTTACACCATTCTTGGTCTCAAACTCATATATAACCTGTTTGTCTGTATTTTCGTCGACTATGGCACGAGACACAAACATTGACCAAACGGACAAAAAGTGTCATTTCGGATGGTCACGCAGCCAATCGCATTCGAGCACTTCGAAGAAGCCTTACGTTCCAAGGGAGAGGGTGTCTGGTGCAAGGGAGAGGTCATGAGACTCTACGAGCAGTACATCCTCAATGCCTGGGAGGACAAATCGTCCTTGGATTGGCAATTCTACCAACTCCTCTGGGACGACCTCCTACGCAACTGGGATGACGAAAGAGTCCAATTCAGGGGTCAGGAACTACTTGTCCAAATTCTCATTAATTTAAGCTACTTAACTAAATAAACACCTAAATTTACTCGGGGTTTCCCCCTAAAATAAAATTTTTTTACTCTTAGAACCACTCGAGGTTCTCCTTACGGTTGTTGAGCTTGTCACCGTCAATGTGTCTAACCTTCGTCTTCTTGCCTGGATTTGGAACCCATTGAATTGCGACAAGCTTGCCCATGGAGATTGAACCACGATTCCGAAGGTTAAGGTTCAAGTGTCCCAAGTTGTTGAGGACTGGGGTAAGAACCTTGCCGG